TATTTTCTTCCTCTGATCCTCGATCCTTTAGTTTTGTAATCTCTGATCCAATATCTTCTTCTTTTCGCATTTAGCGACAAACAGCACTTGAACTAGCTGTTTTTTTAGACTCGACGAATTTGACTGTCAGTTTGTGGATTCTAACTTTTAATATACTTTTGGTGCCACAGTGAAAGATGGTCCCATTTTGTCGACTTCAATTTTTGCTGTTATTCACACCCTAAAAAAAGTGTTTGTTCAGTTTTTCTTCCCGAAAACTTTCAGAAAGATACCAGAATAATACGGCTTTCACTTATGTACTGTCATTTTGAATTTTTTTCTATTCTACCGCTACGTGGAAGAATTAGTCATAAATGTTGTCATTTTTACTGGAGTTATCAGAAATTTTCATGCTGACAATAAGCACTCTTCGAAATGTTTTAAAATTAACAAATTTTTGAACATGATAGTGGTATGCGGAAAAATATAGTGTATCTTTCGCCTGTGAATTTTCGAAAATTATTGCTGAGTGGGATAAGAAATATGTCAACAATTACAAAATTCCAAAAATATTTTCCTTCACTTTTCAAAAGACGGATAAAAAGTAGCATAAGAGCAAGTATTAAGCTAGTCATATTCAAATTTTTTCACATTTATGAACGGCTTGATTTTGACAAGCTGCAGAAAAAAAAATTTGTTGCCAGTAAGCAGCTTCTTGGTCTCTGTAGAATCACCCAACATTGAATAGATGTTGGGTGCGTTTGAACCTTTTGTCGTTGAGGTTGTGTTTTAGATTATCTTGCAACTTTTTTTAGTTTTTTTGTTTCAAAGAAATGAATGCTTTTAAACGAAGGACGAAAATGTTCTTTCTTAGAAACTTTGACAAGAATATCTTGAGAGCTCACTAACCAACTAGGAGATGTCAAAAATTGCTTTAAAAAAACCGTATCAAACTTATTCATGCAGGAAGCAAACGAATCTCACACGATTTTCATTCGTTTTCAGTACTATCAAACGAGTGCTTGCCTGTGAGAATTTTTATTTAAAAGCTATGGTATTTCGTGCTACAAATATCCCTTCAAAGTAGTAGATATCAAAAACGCATTCCGTATCAAAATCTGATCAGTTTCTTCATCTTTACCAAGACCGCCAATGCCGTTTAACAAATGTATATATACATTTAAAATAAATGATCAATTGTACAAACGTTGAAAATTTCATAAAAATCGACAATAGCACTGTTCTTCATGGAGACAAATATAATTTTCAAACATCTTTTTGCCGAATTTAGGTGCCGTTTTTTTTATTGAATGCCAACTAAAATTTGATTGAGTTGAACTGCACCAAATGCTTCCGGAACTTATCTCAAACTGCGAAACATTTATTCCGGTGGATGTCCAAAACAACATTTATTGTTTTCATGAATAAACAATGGTTAAGAAAAAAATGCGTTGCTTTTCGCAGTCACTGTATCTGTTCTGTATTCATACACCAATCAGCAATGTTTGTACCCTGCACTAGATGAAACATTGATGCCGATGCTTTTATTAAACAATAACTCTGTTAACACGGTTTATTCATGAAAGGGAATTTGGAGGAAATGGTAATCAAAATGTTGTGATTTTGAAATAAAGACTTCTAGACGGACGATCTTACCATTGTTCAGCCATGAACGCCTATCGGCTGCATATTTCACGAAGCGGCTTACTGTTTATTACAATTTCATTTGGTACGTTTGTACTCGTAGGGTGCTTTGTCTCTGAAACGGCGTTTGGATTCGTCGTTTACAATTGGTTTTTTTTTTTTGTTTTTTGGGACTTCCTTCTGCAAGATGCTAATTATTAGTGAATTTAAATGAAGTGTTTTAAGATGCGAGAGCTGCAAATGATG